AAAGTAAATAAATATTGTTTATGTATAGTTGATGTTGCTTCCAAATATAAGTGGGCAGTTCCTTTAACAGATAAGATATCTAGTAGTATAGCTAAAGCTTTTAAAAAAGTTTATAGTAATTCCAAGTACCCTCTTATTTGGCCTAAATTATTAATGGTCGATCCTGGTTCTGAATTTAAATCTGATTGTAAAGAATTAATAAATAAATATAATATTAAAATTAAGATTGGCACATCTCATAGAAGCCAAGAAATCGTTGAAAGATTTAATGCACTTTAGCTGAAAAATTGTATCATTTACAGGATGCTTCTGATTTATTATTACCTATATCTAAGAGATCGAGAGCTTGTGTTAAAAATCTTTATATAATTATTGATAACCTTAATAATTCAGTAACTAGATTAATTGGCATGGCTCCTGCTAAAGCTATAAAAATAAAAAAGATTATTTCATCATCTTTTAAATTACGCAATGAGCCTATGGGCTTTGATGAATCTAAGCTATCTTATAATACCTTTGTAAGATATTTACTTGAACCTGGTGAGCTAGAAGGTAGAAATAGATATAGTACTGATTGCAATTTTTCACCTTCTATTTATTTTATTAAACAATATTTAGTATAAAAAATCAACCAGTATTATATTAGATTGAAGATATCAATAGAAATAGACCAAAATGGTCTTTTGTTAGAGAAGAGCTTTTAATTGTCCCTTCTAATACAGAATTGCTACCTCAGTGGGTACTTAATCAATAATGCCTATATTTTGAAGATATTTTGAAATTATATTATAAGGATCTTCATTGTACCAAATTTCTAGTAAAGCTATATTATTTTTATTACAAAGTTCTTTTTTATTCTGATCATGTATTAATTGATTTTGAAATTGCTCCAAACTTTTATGAAAGAAATCAGTTTGATATTTATGTTGAATTCCTTGTATTTCTATTGCAAATCCATATTGTGGATAATATATATCAAGTTCTAATCCCTTAGGATATTTATTTGTTTTTAGAAAATCTGGCTTACGAATTTCAGATGGTTTACCTAATAAATTTGTTACAATTTCACAACACAAATTCTCATGTTTATAAAAACAATAAGGACACCAATAATTTTTTAAAATACAATTAGATATTGATAGCCATATATGATCTTTATTACATTGCTATTGAAGTTTAGTATGTACACTATTATATTTTTCAGAAAGATATTTTCCATTTCGTTGTTGTGCTAACTCATACATATCAGTAATTGTCTTATTAAATCCACGACAATATGGACACCAATTATTCAAATCTTTAATACTATTTAAGTGTGCAATCTATATATGTCCCTTATTACATTTCCATTGTAATGGTATTTTATTATTTTTATATATTCTCTATTTCAATTATATACTATTTCTTTGCT